CATGCATGAGGGAAGTCATTTATATGTGGCAAGATGTATATTTTCGTAGGGAATATTGTACATCAAAGGGCAGGAATAAATCTAATTTTTCAGAATAACTGCACTGATGTTTTGGGGTGAGGTTTCCTTAAAGACAATTAACTATCAAGACTGAGGCATACAATGTCATGGGAGCAAAAAGTTGTATAGGCCCGGATCCAGTTAAAACACTTTATTATTGTTATTGTGAAAATCTCATTTTAAGACGGTAAACGAACTAGGTACCAGATAGGATGCAGAAAGAAGATTGATGTTCATATTTGTTACTCCGTTACATTTCAAACAGACGTCACCGGGTGTGACAGAAGTATACGTCACCACACATGCTTATACCCCAGGCGAAGTGGACGAGGTTGAAGCACAGCGTGGAGAGATTGTCGTTGTAAACTCAGCCATGCAGCGAGAAAACGACTGGATGTGGGTCTACGTTCCACGCACTGATCGATTCGGTTATCTTCCTGCATTCTCCGCCCGCCCCCTAGAGTTTCAAGTTAATGAAGTTTGAAGTCGTTTATTCTGGCCGTGTCTCGCAAAATAATGACGAAATGTAATACAGAACGAATAGAACATATTAATAATATCATCCTTGTAATGAGACCGCTGTTTGTGATAACAGGTGGAAGTTGGAATGCATTAACTTTTTAATGAGGAACATTTTTGTAATAGATTCGGGTAACTAACTTCTTGTATTCTTCTAGTAATCTTGCCTTGGTTCGGAGTATTCTTCATCTCTTGTATAATTTGATTAATCACATAACTTTGGTACAACTCTTATTTCTGTAAGAATTATATTATTTTCAGTAATGTCACCTTCATTCACATACTGTACGTGTATTATAAATAGTGTAAGGTAAGGAATATTTACAGTAATGGCCGATGAGATATAAAACGAACGATTTCGATGATACATGAATTACACATAGTGGTTTTGTAATTTTAATGAATCTACAGGTATTTAAACCAAAATGAATTTTTTTTTCCGACTTATACCTTGCTCATGGTTTGGAGAAGACAAAGAGAGTGATGTTGGATGTGAACCCGGTCACTGTTTATAACTGATTCTAAATGTGTACATCGTAATTTTCTATGCAACTCGTATTCTTTTTCTTATGTTCAATATAATATGTGCCTTTACAAAATATAATAACTATGCAAATATTATTATGCACTTTTCATAACCCAAGCTTAGCTCAAATAATGAAAGGAAGAAAGGGCTGAAGCTAGAGAAAATTAATATTATATTTATCAACGAAAGTACGGGTGAATTTCTATGTTTGTTTAGGAACTGTTTGTACAATTTGTTATACTTCAAATCTTGATTTTCACCGCTACGTAAAGCACCTATTTGCAAAACATTCAATATACAAAGAACTACATAAACTGACGTTCATTGAAACATTTCTTTCTGATAAATATGTTCTTCAAATATCAAAACAGTAAATGTTGAAACAGTAACAGGAATAACGCAATTAACCTAGTCACATTGAGCATTCAAAATGAAGTAATTTAACAAACAATCTGTATCACAATCAGACAATGAACCATTAACGTTGAAATGTTATATTCTGATGAGATTTCATGAATGAAATGAAACAAGTAAGTGATTCAGATTCTACGCCTTTTTATTCGTGTTTCTACATTTTTCGCGATATAACATCTGGGGTATATTCTTCTCTATTTATACTGTCTGATTTCTTTCCATTAAATCACGTCCCATGTGTCCAGCATGGAAGATATTTCATTCAAAATCTGTATGTATTAAACTCGTATTTTCCATAAGTCATCGATAACGTTTCTATGAACGTAAATGACACTCCAGTTTCAACCAAAATAATGTTCTCTCTATTAAAACGCATATACAGCATTTTGTTGTTTGTACCTAAACATAAAGCCTTTATTCTACCAAGTAAAAATGGGTGCATGATATATATATATATCTTAGATTTAAATGGGCCATTAGGACATAGGCTAATAGCTTTATTGTCATTTATTTTCTCGTACTTAATCTTTCCTTATAACCATGCATTGTAAATCGCTTCATGGAAGTATAGCAGGTGTAACGAATAACCTTGTATATTATATTTTTGCCAATAGATATTTTAAACCCGAATAACCCTGTATATTATATTTTTGTCAATAGATTTTTTTTTTAAACTTCATCTATAACGATTCGTGATACTTCATTTACTATGCATTTATTACCAAAGTTGAGTACTGAAGCTAGAACTGCTTTTACGAGTACATGTATTAAACTTAACATGTTAAAGCACAGAACTTGGAACATTATTTCTCGACTCGGTATCTTCCGGTGTCAACCTTTACTTATTGTGTTGTTAAATAAATTCTGTCGGGTTACAATTCTCGGAGGGGGTTGGGCGTCGGTGAGTGTGATGAGAATAATGGTTGTGAAGATGATTTTGACAACTCTCAGATTTGATTTTATGATGACGAAGACACCGATGTTAACGATGGTGGTGTTGATGAAGCTGATGCTGCTGCTGCTGATGATGATGATAGTGATGATGATTAACGCTGCACTTGCTATGTTGTGGCGTTTGTCGAGGTCAAGGATAATGATTATGATCATAAAATCAATCATTATAGCAATGAACTTATCAAACAAAAATGAGATCATCGGTTCGAGGACAATTACCCCCTGGACAATCACCCCGGCTATTTACCAGCAGGACAATTACCCACAAGGACAACCACCCCAAACGGACAATCACCCCCAAGGACAATCACCCCAGAAGGACTATCGCCCCCGGAAAATTACCCTCCGAAAATTAAGCTCTAGGATGATCATCCCCTGTGTGCGTGTGTGTTTGGGGTTAGGGGGATTGAAACGTGATATCTTGTCTTTTGGCAAATGACCTTGGGGGTAATTGTCCTGGGGGATTTTTAGAGAGGTAATTGTCTAGGGTGTAAATGTCCTGATACGGACATTATCACAAAGAAATTAATATACACGTAAGTTCAAGATGGCCGCCGAAACTGACAAGTTCAGAAGTACACATAGTACACAAAAACGAAACAGAAAATGAGTTTAATAGCTGGCCAAGTTGATAATTATTAATTTTATCTTTTATGTCAATCTAAGCAAAATGACATCAGTTTTGTGCGCATATTTATTTATTATTGATGGGGGTTTCCTTCGCAATATGCAAATGGTGATGATTCGTTTCTCAATCCATTTCATATTAAACAAAAAAATGGACTTTATATGTTTTAGTTTTAGAGTAAAGTGAGAATGGTGGTGGTACTTATTACCCCCACTCCTCCCTAAAACTTTAAAACTTAATTGGCCTACTAAATATAAACACAAAACGAACAAATTTGATATTGAGATTCAAAAATATAATTTATTAAATGTTTCGATCGCTGTTTCATATGAATCATTTCATTTGATTACACAGCTAATTCAACAAAATGTATTTCGGATCTCCAAAAAAATTACACATCGCACTTTGAGAATACCATAATTTATAGATAATATGTACGAAAACATTGATCTTAAATAATTCAAAGAAACAATAAACATGTACATTAATTCTCACAAGAAGGCAGTACATATCGAGTACTATTTCATATAATTATTCAATAGTTCATACAAGTCAGATCATTATACACATAACGATGAGGAATGTTTCAGTATACTGGTTAAAGGGCTGGAACCGAATGGAAACACAATTAGCTAGAATAAGGTAATTGAGAGTGCTGACTTTACTTTTTTTCTTCCATTATTCACCATCTGAATAATTTTGTGTATTACCGTTGCACAAGCTTTACCCTTCGAGCAACATCAATAGAAGTAAGTTGCGTTCAATGAGCTCTGGCTCAACATGGCAACATGTTTGGTTATAAATGATACTTCAAATCCTTTTTGTAAACAGAATAACTTTATCTAACAAACGGCATACTTAAAAAGAAAAGAAAAAACACGCTCAAAATAAACAATAATAGCAATGTCATTAGGCGTCATAATAACCATACAAAATATTTTTTGTTATACAAACACGATTTACTTAGATAATTGGTGGGACATGTCATATTCACTCAGTAGCTACAATGAGATAGATTATAGAAAATAGAAACAGATATATAGTTCGATATATATAAAGAAAATCGTTTAGATAGACACGTAGATATGTAGATAATTTTTTGTATAAACATTGATTCAGTGCAAAGAAAAATATATCATTTACAAATCTAAACTTTTCCAAAGGAATACGAGCTCTGGCTCTTGACTTTCCAATCACCATATATATACTGTGATCAGAAAGATTGAATGATAAACAGACAGAAATGTAGACAGATAGATGGGTGGATGAATGGATAGGTTGACAGAGGGATAGAGGGAGATTATAAGCAAGAAATAAGTGAGACTGTGAGAAAGAGTAAGAGAAAAGGAAAAAAAAAAGAGGAAGAAAGAGAGAGTGAAAGAAGAGAGAGAGAGAGAGAGAGAGAGAGAGAGAGAGAGAGAAAGGGGAAGAAAGGGGGAAGAAATAACAAGAGAAAGAGAGTGTGAAATGATATTAGATAAACAAGAATGTGATGATAATTTTGTTTCATGATTCGAATCATTGGCAAGGAGTGACATCAATCAAACATACTACCACGGTGCATCAATACAATCAACTTTAGAATTGACACAATGATGTTGTGCATCTCATGATTCATTAGCAATTCTGAGGTATAAAATCATTATTTTGATGAGAAAATAGGTTCGTGTCGCAAGTTCATCGTTTATTCGGTCTTGTTTAAGTATTAGGCTTCAACTTAACAACCCACGAAAATCAGGACGTCATTGAATATTCGCTGTACGACAGATTTTATGGTACATCACCATATAGGTATCAAAATATTAATCAAAGATTTAGAATGTTCCTAGAAATTACGAAATCATGACTTTGTGCGGTGCTCCCGACTGGAAAGATCGCACACTCTGCTGGCTACGAATCATAAAGCAATCGGGTACACTAATACTATTGTTAGACGCCATCCTTTCGGTTGCCGCTCGGACTTTCCTTCTGAACAAAAATAGTATGTCAGGTGCCTCGATCATGACCGTTCAAAATGGTGAAGATCATACATGTTCATACCAATGCATCAATAGCCCCAAACCATTTTTAACGTTCAGATCCCATTCTTCACGAATAATAAAAGCTCATTATTACGTGGTAGTAATCTTCGATAATTCACAGCATCAAAATGTTTCTCACGGTAGGCGATATACGGAGGTAATTTTGTCAAATCGGAAAGGCAGAATTTCATGAAGGCCTGTCTATCGACTCAATCACTGCAAATGTTAATCACTTTGTGGAGGTATAACGTCAGTGTATATCATGAAGATCTATAATCATGCATATTTTATTGTTAAGGTGATAGTTGCAGCGTCCGGCTGGTATAACTGTTTCGTGTTAACACTCGAGGACGTATATTATCACCTCAATGATTATTCCTTAATGACGTCAGAGATGCCATAACGACCCAAGAAGCGAAGCCATCACTATGACAACCAGGGATACCTGAGTCTTGGGAGGGGCTGTTCCTGATCCGTCATCTACTGTTGCCATGTAGACATCTACCTGTTCCACGTTGTAGACGTAGTTGGTGATTTGAACTGTACTCGTCCAGGTGATATAACCCTCCATGCTTACCTGGGGAGGGGAACAAAAATATTATTTTTATTATTATTATTTATTCGGCAAAAACAAAGAAAATCATTGAATACAAAACAAGAGTACGACGGCAGAAGGAAAATACTTGAGAAAAGAATGATGACTTCACCTACGCGGATGCTACGAGTTCACAAAAGTGTTCTCAGTTGATGATATTAATTTGTTATTCACACTTTGACACACATGCATTTTTTTAAAATTGTGTATACAAACAATCAAACTGATTATCATAAAATGTTAGAGGAGAAATTTAGATTGCCGTGTTTGTTTGTTCTCTAAGAGTCTGAAGAAACGATGAGTATGCACAATGAGTATGCACTTCATTCAAGTTCAAGTACGTGTATGTATAGTATTTACCTGTAATTCGTAGGAGCCAGGCAGTAGTAGTTTCCAATACTCTCCCTCCTTTGTGGTGCGGAAGGTTATATCACGACCAACTATCTTCACTTCAGCGCCCTCTAGGGCCGTACCTTGCTCATTACGAACGATACCTTTTACACCTATCGAAAAGATGGGAGACATTACAAAGCATCGTCAAAAGTACACTCAGAAATTAGAATATCTAAATCTTAAGATGACTGTAAAATTTAAGAGTAGGACTACAACAGAGACAGAGAAGAAGGGAGAGCATATGATAATCAGATAAATGAAAGATTAAAAGATAAATACAGACAGCGAAAGAGATAAACAGAAAAAAGAGGAGAGAGGAAATGGGAAATAGGGAGAGAGAGGAAACATAAACACAGGAAAAAATAAAGTGCAGTCCCAGAATCTGCATAAAATAGTACATCAAAATACTGCATGCAGTCCATTATTGAACTATGAAAGACTAGAGGAATGGCAAGGTGGTGCAGATATTAATAGATATGTCATTTAAGCTGAGTTCTGGAAGTGGACAGAAAGTAGAAGGAATGTAGAAAGATAACAGAGAGAATGTGAGAAGAGGCGAAGAGGATAACCGTAGAGATAAAGAAAGAGATTAAAACAGACAGACTGAGAGAGTCAAAAAGAAAAAAGGAAAATGAATGGGTTGTTGTTATTACCTCTATGAACCTGTTTGATGTATTCCATGAGAGCATCTCGGTTATCTTCCCAGTACTCTGGTAGCTCCTCAGGAGGAGGATACTTGCAACAACTGATCTCCAAGGTGATCTCCATACATCCAGCAAACAAGTAGTTATAGTCCTGCATCCCACCTGGTGATTTCAACAAAATGGTGGTAAATTATCTCTAAAACAATAATGCATTTCTTTATACTGTGCCAGGGTATATTGAATGGTCATGGTTGCTGCAATGGTTTGTGGGGATGATGATAATGATGGCGATGATGGTGATGATAACGATGATGTCACTGGGAGTGATAATGATGATAATTATGATAAAGATGGTGGTAGTGATGATGATGATGATGATGATGATGATGAGGATGATGATGATGATGATGATGATGAGGATGATGATGATGATGATAATGATGTTTATTATGATTGAGATGGGGATGGTAAGATGATGATGTATTGGGTGTGATGATAAAATGATAAGGATGACTGGGAGTCATAGTGATACCGAACACGATGATGATAATAATAATGTTGTTAATGAGGATAATAATGATGATGCTGGTGTTATTGTTAGTGCGGATGATGTTGATGAGAATGAAGATGAGGATGATGATGATAAGGATGATGATGATGATGATGATGGGCGCCTGTATGCGCCTATGTAGGGCGCGTAAAGGTAATACAACGTTTTGGGAAATTTTGAAACTATGGTGGATAGTGATTCTTTACAATTTATATATATATATATTTGGATGCCCCTGTGAATGTATTATAAGCACTAACAAATATAAGCCCCTAAAACACTTCTGCTTTCGAGAAAAATTGAGTATAAACATTTACCGGTGCTCCCGGTAAATTTTGATAAATTTAAAATAGCACCTACGGCCAACCTATGGTAGCTGCGACCATGAAAATCTCAGAATATGCAGTTGTGATATATAATTTAGCCAATCGGTCGATTCTAGTCAAGACACATTGTTTTATAGCTGAATTAATATCTTGACCTTGAGAGGAAGCTATACATAACTTTAGACTCGATTTCAACCGCGACAACGATCACTGAATATTGTAGTATCGCATATGCTTCCAATATGTTCATTTGAACCAATTTCATGACCCCATACCAAAACTTTGTATAACCTTTAAGGTGCTTGCTCTTCATGTCTCTCAAATTACACGTTCTTATAGTCGATGTGCCAAGTTGAGCTTTATTTTCCATCATTCTTTCTTGCATGTTTATTAATGCTTACTCTAATATTCTACTTACCAACTGCAATATACCATTCGGCGCCATTGGTTATACCATCCTCGAATCCTGTAAATTTCCCTTCACATTTAGTTTCATTGAGTATGTGCATCTTCCGATGGTTATACGAATATACGGTTGCTAGGTAACGGTAAATATCATCATCAGGACTGGGGCTGTATATCGATGTGTTGTCTTTCTTGATTTCTGTGAAAAAGGAAGAAAAATTATTTGACGCAGAACCATGAAATTTAAGACGCTGTTGATCTGTCTGTTTCAATATTCATCAAATTCAGATTACAGATTAAGGCAAGCAGAATTGGATTCCTTCTGTTTCTTTCTCTTCTTCAGTTAATGTATACGAAATGATTCAGAGTTTTAGATGATAACTTCTACATTGTAACATATTCTCTAAAAACGTTTTGTTTTAGATACCCAAGCTATCTATTTTTGTGCTTGTGAAAAATGTATCAGTTTTTCCTTTTCACAAAAAATGGCAACATTTCTATCAACGCTTTTTTTAAAAGACATGTTATTTCGTAAAACCTGTGGAGTTATCCCTCCTTTGAAGACCAGTAATAGGATTGTGTGTCACGTTGTGTACCTTCATAATCCCTTCCCAATAGTTTGATGACTTACCTGGGTCAATGTTATCGAAGGGGTAGTTAGCAACCAGTGCACCACCATGGAGGTTAGCTGACAATACAAACTGAATATCTGCCACCCAGTCCACGATAGCCTGGGTTTCCACTTGTGTCACGTATATGTTCTTCTCGAAGTAATCCGGAAAGTTCCGATTCAGATCGAAGCCGAGATCGTTCGTCCTACGCAGAGAGAAGGGGAATTCATTTTATAGATGGTTGCTATGGCAACAAAGCTAGGATTTATTCTGATGAGAACAGAAGGGTATTACATCGGAAAGCGGATAGGTTTAACAACAGTAATAATAACATAAATAATTATAGCGAAAACGTTGACGGTCGTAACAAGAGGCGTTTCTACAAGGGACAACATGTACACGTGCCCCCCCCCCCCAAAAAAAAAAGAAAATGTGGGGAAAAGAGGGGAGGGGGGATATGAAACGAAGCTGCTAGGAACCCCTCCACACCCTCCCTCCCTCTATTCAGTGGCCCTGATATTGATATTGCCCTGTGCGTTCGGCGCCCCCAACAAATACCCCCGCAAGTGCCCCCTCAATCACTTGTCCCACGCTACGCCTATTGGCATTATAATACCATTATATAAATGAAAATGTAAATCATCTTCTCAAAGGTATTAGTGAACAACTTGTGAAAGAAGAGAGAAGAGAGGAAGAAAGTGAGTTGTGATCTTTTCAGAAGACATGAGAGTTGAGATACACGTCCTTGCATTTCACAAAAAGAGGTATTGAATAAAAGTGAGATTCATTTACATGTAAGCGTATAGACAAAAATAATCGAGAAGACAGTCCGTATAATGTGTTACAAAGAAGTAAGAAGACTAAGATGAGATCGTAAAGCGGAACAACACATAACATTCTGGTGATTGAATGAGAGTGAGCAGGAATAAGTAGATAAGTCTCTCACCTTCCAGTAAAACTCCTGCAGTTTTCATTGACTCTGGCTTCTTCAAAGCCATCAGGATTCATAGAGACTAGAATATGAAGTCTGGTTGAGTCTAGGAACTGTGTTACTTCTATGTCCTGGCCATAGTTCAGTAGCATCCAGTCAGCGTAGTGTATCAACATTTCTCGCCCAATTACCTGTAAATATGGCCATATTATTAGTCTTTGGTATTTTAAGTTTAACGATAATAACTCGAAGTCATAAAGCTGTGAAGAGACATAAGAAGTGTAAAATATAATTCAGAATTACTTTAGATATTCATGACATAGGCCTATAATTACATGAATGATATCCTTTTCAGATTTCACAAAATGATAACATCAATGAACAACATTTTTGTGTTTAAAAATTATCTTACAGAAACATCACTAACCTATGACAAGTGAAATATAAATTATTTGCATAAATCTAAACAAATTGATAAACATTTAATAAATTTATCGTCTCATTGTTTTCTCACCTCATCTCCATGCATGTTGCCCACATACTTAGCTTCTGGTCTCCCTACTACGTGTTTGGTAGCGTCCATGCCAGCAATGGCGAGTACCCATAATTCTCGACCTGAAAATCAATCAATAATAGTGCAGATTATAGGTGATAGAAACGTTTTCAGTAGATCTGTTCTCGACCTGGGTATAGATGCAGACTGAGAAGGTCTAACTCTATAGTCTATACGGTAGGAGCATGCGTTTGTGAACTCGTGATCAGGACTACTATCCTAATAAATTACATTTACCACTAGGACAATTAATTGTAGGACAATTACCCCCGGATGACTACCCAGAGCACCTACTCATAGGACAGTGCCCCTAATGACAATACCCCATTCCCCGGACAAACAGTATACTACACTATCGCTCATATAGTTGGAATATCTTTTTTTTTACCCCAATTTATGGAATTATTTTGACAATTATTTATTCCTAATAGATCTAGAAAATAGGTTACATTCTCAGATTTTATTGAATAACAATTTGCCAGTGTTTGTTTTGCGTGACTGCTAAAGCATGTGTATGCTACTATGCTTATCAACTAGGGGACCTACGCCCTTAAGTAATAAATGACAGTAATGACGATTAATGCCCCACAAAAGGGCACTTATAATATAGCACATCGACACGGTTTTGGTCCTGGGGCCTCACAGTTACGAGGCCATTGCTTGGCCACTGAACCATGACTGTACGCGGCAGGGGCTACCCCCTACCCTAACTATAATGAGCGACAGTGTACAATGCCCAAGTTACCCTCAGTCAACTTCTTCTAAGATAACTGTATCAGGGGTAGATGTCAGGGGCGGTTTTTTTTTCTTGGGGATGCTATTGTTCTAGGGCTGGTTTTTTTTTCTTCAGATGAAGTTGTTCGGAGTGTTATGAGTATATTGGTCCTAGAATTTGGTGAAAATTTATAACAATTAAGATTGCATCATCTATGACTTACCCTTGACTGATTGCCCTATGGTATATAGATGTGTGAGATCAGGGTATGCCACCGTCAATGATCTTATCGCTAAGGTTAGGCTTGTATAGTCATGGTACTCGAAGTCGATCAGGCCTCCGATGACGGCCGTCGATGATCTCAGTGAGCTCAACAATGACAGGAGAGCAAGCCAGCAGGAGAGTGAATGCTTCATCATTATTTAGGATGTCTCGAGTGGATATCTAGGCCAGCTCGAACCTGTATGAGTGGAGGAGAACAAATTAAGCCTAAAGAATTAAATAATACATATAAAGGTGATCGGGCCTTCCATAAAATGAATAATATAAAATAAATAAATAAAAAGGTAATACGTAATACACAATAATTGATGGCTATACAGGTATTGATATGAATATCATGCAGATAAAACAGACATCAGCAGCTATCACCAACACATTTAGTTAAAGAGTAATTGAAAAATAAGGACACAATTACTCCTGAACTCCTAAACATAACCTTTTTTTTTATTTAAGGTAGGTTTTTTTTCCCCCGACAGATGCATTTTCTTACAGATTCCTTGCTTGATTTGATTACTATTATTCTGTATAGTTTAAATGCGATTGATAATCTTTTACACAGACCCACCCCTGCCTTTTAGGAGGAAACACACGCGAAAGCATTGATTCATGAACTCATTTTAACTTCCTAAATGTTGATGACAGTCGAACTTATGGCTGGCCTTTTCATTGCGGTGTTTTTGATAATGCACAAAATAACATATTCAATAGAGTCGTAATTATACACACGACTAGTCTCATAACCTCTATTTCTTCTAAGCTGTCATTGATCTGTATTTTGACGGCACAGATAAATCACTTTCAGACAATATTCATCCCTTACGTCGCAGCTGCTAATTATTGATCATCTCTTTTACTTCGGGCCAAATCAATTTCTGGAAAAAGATGGGTTGTCGCGTCTGCCATTTACTCTTTGAAGGGGAAACTTTCAGTACAAAACCAGAGCTGGCTTGGACAGGTGCCTGAGCTTTATAACTAAAACTATAGTCAACTGCCAAACTGATATTTATAGTTATTTAGCTAGAGTTTTCGATTCTGAATAGGGAAGTATGATCGTACTCAAGGTGAAAATGTGTTCTTTTTAATATTGTTGGTATATGTTATACTACTACTACTCGGCTACTACTACTGCTGCTGCTACTACTACTACTACTAATACTACTACTACTACCACTACTACTACTACTGCTACTACTAATCGGCTTCTACTACTACTAATACTGCTACTACTATTACTACTACTACTATACTCGGCTACTACTACTACTACTACTACTACTACTACTACTACTGGTAGTAGTATACTATTTCAAACTCTTCTATGATAAATGGTACACTATACTAGTAGTAGTAGTAGTAGTAGTAGTAGTAGTATTACTACTGCTACTGCTACTACTACTGCTAATACTACTATTACTACTACTACTACTACTACTACTACTACTACTACTACTACTACTACTACTACTACTAGTATACTATTTCAAACTCTTCTATGATATTTTAACACCGCGATTACATTTTTGTTTATGATAAAGCTTCCACATGTTAAATCTTCCACATGTTAAACTACACCACTCCCCTTGCATGTCTTTCAACAAAAGTTACCCCTTCACATGCATGCAAGTGTTGCTTATATCTGTCTTGTTTTACCTATATCAATCCAGCAAACATTACTACAGATATACAGCTATAAGCAATATTCGAGATTTCCATTTTTAATGACATGATTAGTTTCCTAGGTTACCACGCAGATTGGATTTATCTTCGGAATAAAAATCTACCTTTATTTGTTGTTATCACGAAACCAGTGGAACTTTCATGGATACAAATAAACTTATTTATATTTTTTTATCTGGAACAGTTAAAAGTACATGTAATTGTTGCTTTCGTTTCAATAATCTCTTCGAATCATTCCCAAATCTTTATCAAATCGCATATAGCACTTCATAGAAAATACAGAGCAAAATATTATAAGTTACATTTAAATATTATAGCTACCCCCCCCCCCCTTTGAAAGTTTATTACAGAAGCCAGTATGATGAGACATGTTAACATGTACTTAGCCTCGGTTTAGGTTGTTGTCCTACAACTGAAACTACTCGATTTGTAATTCAAAACTTGTGTTAAGTAAACAATGTTTAGTACTATATTAAACATGGCTCCGAATGGACGATCTATTCACCAGTTACATGTGTACTTTGGACATGTTCTAAGTCTGAGGGAAACGCCCCCTATACATTGTCAAAACTCTACAGGCCATTACATGTAAACAATGACTGTGTAAATTTAGAGAAGGAATCAGCTAATTTGATCAGATCGAACAATAAATGGTGCAACTGAGGGGAAAACCTCCAAAAAAAGTATTTGAAATTTTATTTTTGGATATTTGTTCCCTCTTGCTAGGTTTCATCAGTATGCATGAATCAAAATATTATGAAGGCGAATATCTTATCCCGCTATCTCCATTCCTTTATTTCTGATCTACTTCCAGCCAATGTATGCACAAATAGTTTGTAGCAGCTTTTTGTGTGCAATATAAATAAGAAAAAGTAGTACGTGCTAGCAATTATTCAATTGCACGCTTTACAAACATCAATAATATATTTCATGAAGCTCTCTGTCCCATTCCCACCCCACACGCTTACCCTCTCTGTCTCATGTATATCAAACAAAGCATTTAATACAAAATTACGTGAAGATTTTTTATATCAAAACTCAATGCCGTTGATAGTGTATTTAAGTCGATGGTGTAGCATGGGTTAAGCCAATATCATTGGGGGGGGGGGGGGCACCCGTCTTACTTTAGCTAAATAAAAGGTTAGAGAACAAGCTAGGCCATATTTACCGGCTACTGTTATGAAGATAATATCTCAATGATGATATTTTTCAGATTAAACACTTACGAGTACGCTGCAAAACTCTAGCCTCAACAATTGATAAAATATTCCTGGCAAGAGAATGATCATGAAAACTACAGAAATTATTTCTTCATACAGTTGTTCTTTCTTTCTGATTACTATAGAGTCTCCACTTTTCAATCCTGCCTTGATGTACGTCAATTCAAAGAATGATATCCAACCCACTCGTACTGAATAAATCACATCGGAGGTCCTTATGACAGTAGGGTGAATGTATCATGAATCAAGCGATGGACACTTCAAAACAATATAGCAACGACCATAGTAACGTCTCCGCGAATCAAGAAAATCCCACGCACGATGTGCAAAGAATGTTTACCAGAAAATGTAAGAACTTACAATAACAGCAACGATTCAGGGCGTTTAAAACGATGTTCATCACTTCGGCCAGCTTGTTGCCGCAATTCCGATTAATTTCTACCGTGAAGAGGCTTGTATGGTAGACAGGATCAAGCAATGTACCAAACGGATGTTTGGTACAAGCAATGTTTCAAAGATCAGTTTGGTACCAGCAAAACAAAGAATGTAACGTTGTAACTTGGACTTTATTCCGCAGTCAACCGTACCGTTTAATAATGAACGAGAAAATAATTACAAAATCCAAAGGGCGCACTTAAATGTAGATCAAGTGCATCAGTAATTGACTATCTTCTCCTGTCCGGGGCATCCGTCCCTTTGCGAATCTGCACATCTTTTACAACTGAGAAGGGAAAAGTGACTGGATCTGCCACCCCCCCCCCCCTTTTCATTCATCCCTGGAGTGACTCTCAATATTGATATAGCAAACAGCATTACCCTGTTCAGAAATCCAATAACCTACCTATTGTTGTGGAGAAATCCCTTTTCATGAAGTTAACGGCCCCATTTCAAGCGGAGCACACAAGAGACAAACGACTCTCAAGGAGTCGATTTGAGGTTCATAAAATAATTCCTACCTCGGAAAGTGACGTGCTTCATATCTCCTTCAAAAATAAAGAAAACTTGAACTATATTATTCTCTGTTTGCCTATACAGTCATGTATATTTTTTTATAAAATATTGATTTTTTTAAAAATACATACAAGTAAGTTTTATCATTTTAATTTGCTGTATTATTTTATTACGAAATGCATGTCAGAATATCAGAGATACATGTTTTAATGAAGTGTTTTTATGTTCTTTAATCATCATTGGTTTCTTCATGCTATCTATGATTTTTTTTTCAGGGCTAACTATGTCGTGTTTTACATTGTAGACATACTAGATTAACTATTAGAGCTTCATTTCGAACCACATTTCTCCTTTAAACCGATGGGTCAGAAAGGATTGTACTAGGTTAATCAATACTACTTGTCTCACACAGTGGGTGGTATACTTGTGTAAAGTGTAAAGAGCGGAAATACAAGAAAATAATGCAAACAAAACAGTTACTTTGTAAGCTCTTAAAATCAATAAAGCAATTAGGAATTAGGAACCACGTTTTGTAATGCAATTGAGCCAACAGAAACTATAATGGTTGATGATTAGGTTCTAAGACATGTCCATGGTTTTCCTGAAGATGCAGTGCTCAGGTCTAATTACCATGATTTATCACAGGACGCCAAGTTTTAGCATTTCCTTTTCCCCCTTGATAGGCATGACTTGTGTAGAAAAAGAAATTGTCTTTGCATGTTCACTACGCATCCCAGGGATTGTCTATGCGGTTTCCTCATCCCCCATCCTTTCTGGCAATCATGTGTCTGCTTCTGCATCTACTACACTGGGAGAGAAGAGGTACAGTGACATGTCTTGCTTATCGTAGAGTACAGTGCCTCACCGGGGATTCGAACCAAGATAGGTACTGTTGATCTGTCGTCATGATGGTTCTATCCTAATGCTCCGATAGCATATCCACTATAGCCGATTCAGCAATCAATATTTATCAAACCTTCATCGATTGTCGTATCCTTCCTAATTCTTCTTTTAAGAGGTTCTTACAAGACGTCATTTTGATCAACAGATCAACATGCGGGAATTATGAATCAAAACCACGATACCCTATCCTCATGTTTCGTTAATTGTTTGTTCAGGTAAATGATTACATTCTGTAATACATCTGATTCTTGAATTATGTTCAATCAAGAAGTGTTTCAAAGGGCTCGCCTAGTATCTCCTTGGTTCAATCAGTATGTATCACTGAATCAAGTAACATAATACTTATGGCATTGATCCGTTATGGTAGACCATTTTGAAGGTTCAATGGCTGATGGGTTAGGAGGAATAACTACATGTCTAGTTACTC